GTTAGTAGATGCAGTTATACATGTAAATAAAACAATTTTAAAAATTGCATAAAAAATATAATGATAAATATAAATGACATATTTTTTCGAAACAAAAAGCAATAACTTAAACTGTAACTTTGTCCTGTTTTCATACTTAAATTAAAAGTTTCACTATTTGTCTAACATTTTTTTCATGATATCCAGCATTTCTTTTCGAAATTCCATTTTCTCTTTGTGTCTCTGCTCTCTGTTTTTCTCAGCCAATTCTCGACTTTGAATAATTGATGCAGCAATTTTTGATGTATTTTCTTCTGCCTTACGCTTTTGAGGATTTGGGTTGTTCAAGTCACAAATGTGCTAAATGTGTTTGCACTGGACGAAGTACTTGATGTGTTATTAGATGTAGAGCGATTAGAACTAATGTAACTTGAACAGGCTATTGCTAGTGGCAACATGAAAGGTCGTTCATCAAGCAGAGATTCCATGACCTCCATATAGGGCCATGATCTTGGATTATTGCCTGATTTAACATTGTGATCTTTTATAGATTTATAAGTTCTTTTCATTCCATGAAATTTTGAAAGGCACTGAGATCCGGTGACATTATAGCCTTTAATAGACAATGCTGATGCTATGTTGTTCGAAATTTTTTTTTGAGACATTTTATCGGATGTGAAATTCTTTTCTTGCATACGATATTCCTTTACTAATAAGAGAGTTGCTGCGTAAGACCATTTAAACAATGATTCGTTAGAAATACCCGAAATACTTGATTCAGTAGATTCCGATTGTAACTTTACTGTTTCCAGGAGGCTAGTGGCAAACGTTAAATCTAAAAAGATAATATACATATTATAAAAGTTACAAATTATTATATTTTTATTTTATTTTAATTTATCTATTTTCATGTTAATAGGTTGATCTACACTTGCTAATTATTTACAACAAAATACCTAACCTCCATTGTTACAACTATTATTAATTAAATAAATGTGCAAGAAAACTAAAATATGTTGAAGACTAAAGATAGATTAAAAGTAATAACCTATTAAGGAACAAAATTACTCACCTCTTTGTGCACGTGCTGGTGATACATCATCTGGTGATACTTTTAAGATATAACTCACGCCGGTTTCATCCGAAAGATGAATTTCGACTTGTTCACTATTTTTTTCATTCATTCTCTCTTTAATTTTTTCTCTTCTTAATACCTTTGATGCTACTTCTCTTCTTATATCTTTGATGCTATGATGAACATTTGAACAGAAAATATGCGCAATCAGCGTTGTTATCATTTGCTGCCCTGCCTCGAAAAAGATAGCGCAAAATAGCGCCAATAATGACGTCGCTTTACTTTGACCATGATGTCATCATCAATTTCATACCAAAAAGCATCTCCCCAAACAGTTTTAGACAATAATTGTGCAAATAGCGCGCTCCCTGAACGCACCCATCGTGTTTGGTAGTAGAAGACCGTGTCTGCGCCCTCCCGACCGTGTCGCCCGAGATTCGTCGAGCCTTACGGTCGAGATTGGACACTCCTATAGCCGGCGACCGTCGAACGAATCGCATTTACGCGCGTGCGCTCGCTTTGAGGAGACCGATAATCGCTTCACTTATACTCGATAGCGATTCAATCGCGCACAGTGATCGATATGTTTCCCCTATTGACGAACAAACGCGATATTTTCAATCTATCCGCCGAACATTGCGACTTATCCCGAAGATCGTTCTCGCAATTTCGATAGATATGTGGAGCTATTGTGGAACAGATTACCCGAACATTTGAGAGCAGACCCTGAGGTGCAACGTTGTCGCGTGTATCTGGAGCATTACAATCGTCCGTGGCAACGATCGCATATAAACGGTTCTGCGCTTTTCATCAAGAACTGTAGCGAATGCTCAGCGGCGCGGGATTACTCAATACGGTGATAAACGCGCTTCCCTTCGAACTACATATTCCCGAGTATCAATTTTACGGGCTCGGCAGCCGTCTCGGGAGGCGATTGGCGCGCGGCAATCGAGGCGTCAACCCGTTGGACGCGACGTGCCGCGAGCACGACATCGCCTACTCGCGAAACAAGGAACTCGCCGATCGCTATGTCGCCAATCGAGCTCTCGCCGAGAAGGCGCGTGAACATATAACGGTCGGAGGTTCCATCTTCGGCGAGAGGGCCACCGCGACCACCGTATGGACTGCTATGAAAGCAAAAACAAAGCTGGGCATGGGTTTGAGAAGGAAGAAGAGGAAGACGACGAAGAGGATACTTCCGACGGCGAAACGCGGAGGCTTGTTGCCCATTTTTCCGATACTAGGCGTCCTCGGTTCTTTGATCGGTAGCGCGGCGGGCGTCGCGCGGGCGGTGAACGCCGGTAAGACCGCTCGACGTCAACTGGAGAAGTTGCAACGTTACAATCGGGCGATGGAGGATCACGGATTGCACCTAGCGTCTTACAAACGTGGCAGCGGTGTGATGAGAAGAAATCGTGGAAGGAAACGTTAAGATCGCTCGAGTTACCGCTCTCCATTACGACGAACGAGCAGCTGAGCCGCTTGGCGCGTCGTTTGCGAATATCCTTCTTCAGAAGAGTGTTTATGCGTAATGCGTTATCGTCGAAGGCGCGACGCAACGAGAGCGGCATCGTGAATCTCGACGACTCGACGGGTTCGGGTACTTACTGAGTCTCCTACGCGAAGAGGGCAATGACGCGGTTTACTTCGACAGTTTCGGCAATTTTCGATCGCCGAGAGAACTCGAGAGATATCTCGGCGTCCACGTATAACGTACAATCGCGGATCGTATCAGACGTACGTATTAGAGCATCTGCGGTTAGTTGTGCCTGCGATTTTTCTCGAGGATCGGTCACGATGTCGCTGAGCCTGTCGTTCACCGGTAGCGTCCTCACGGCGTGCTATTTTCCCGCCTTAGATCTGAGCGACGACGATTACGAGTTAGGTCTCACGAATTTCGAAACGTACAACACTATACCAAACGTCGATTCCACGAATAATAAGTTCTATTACGACGACGATGACAAAACGATCGTGATTCCCGAGGGTTCGTACGAGTTGAGCGCGATAGATAGACAGATATTTGAACGCCGCTATCTCTAAGAGGCGAAGGATCGACGAGAGCAAGATGACGAGCGACGATGACGAGAGCGACGTCGTTTACGACGAGAGCGACGAAAGCGAGAGGGAAGCGCGGCCTCTGATCATTCGCGCCAACGAGAACACTATATAAGCGAGACCAGGTGCGAATCGACTTCGCGAAACCGAACAACATCGGTTCGCTCCTGGGATTCTCGTCGTTGCGCGTGTTACGATCAAACAAATGGCACACGTCCGACGAATCCGTGAATATCATGAGCGTGAACATAATTCAAGTGGAGTGCAATATCACCACGGGTGCGTACAGCAACGATAAACTGGTTCACACGATACACGATACACATTTTCCCCGAACGTTCCTCCGGGATATAAACTGTCGAATGCTCCGACGTCGATCATTTACTTTCCGATCATCGCGCGAAACGTCATCAATATCACGCTTCGAGTCGTGAGTAGTAAGTGGGGCATTATGGCGCGTCAAAACAAACCCCCACCACCTTCCCACTGGCGTCAGGGGCGTGGCCCCCGATGGTCAAAAACTGGCAGCCACGTGGAAATGGAGCGTTCTGATTGGTCGGTGGGGATGGGAGATGATAATTAGGTAATTAGTGGGAGCGTTCTGATTGGTTGGCTCCGTAGCTGCCCGACGCGTGATTGGCTCTACCCATAGTGCCCCATGTGTGCGATTGGTTGTCGAAATGCTAGACGAGGTAGGGGAAGGGTGAAAAAGCGTCTGGGACCGATCGGAGTCCGAAAACAAAATGGCGATTGCAAAAAGAAATATGGCGGGTCTGTAAAAGGAATATACTTGTCGAGAATGGAATGCGATTTTTTGTTCACGTGGGATGGAGCGAAGAGAAGAAAACCGATTTTTTGTGGAATTTACTGGTTGTATACGGGATATGAAGAATCCCGTTTTTCTTAGGGCGAAAGGTTTCTCGGCGTCTCATAGTCGGTGAATTTAGATAAATTTCTCGACTCGTTTGAGATTTTTTGTATGGGGGAAATATAGGTTACGAATGGATATAGGTTTTGAAGACATGAGATTTTCGGTGTGTAATAACCACTATTTACCAGGTCGTACGGTATTTGAGAGGAGAAAAACGGGAACGGACAGGTTCGCACTATATATTTATGACGTCGATGACGTCGAATTCGGAGTTATACGAAGCTTTTATTCTAAGACAAACACGCGGATTGAAAAAATTTTTTAGATGTAAACTCTAGATTTTTCTAACATTTGGAGTTATACACTAGCGAGATTATGTTCCTTAATTCTATGGTAAACAAACGAAAAATATTTAATAAACGATTAGATATTTCTAGCTTGGAATTATGTGGCTAAAATTGGTTTTAAATCGGTGGGAAAGGAAGTAAAATGGACAATGAATTTATGTTACAAAAATTAGATTTATTGTTATATCATTATACAAATTATACCATAATAGTGTTTCTTTAATGTTTAATTGTTCTTAAAAGTACAAGTTTGTATATGACAGCACGTTACATGAGATTTTTCACATTTCTTTTTTCCCATTGAAGAAAGATTTTACGAAATAATTGTACGATTAGCTTATCATTATCTTCGTAATCTTCGCTGAATATTTTGAGAAATTGTTTAAAGTTTATTAA